TTGCCATATCTCAGAAGGTTTTAGACAGTCAATTCTTCTATTGCAGGCACTCATCATTTTTTAAAATTTAAATTCTTTATTGCTTAATGCATTACATAAGTCTCCTTTTTCCCCCCCGTTGACCTCTCCCCGGCTGCCCCCAACCCCCAGCACATGCGCCCCCCCCCCCCCCCCCGGTCTGTGTCCATTGGTTATGCTCAGATGCATGCATACAAGTCCTTTGGTTGATCTCTTACCCCATTTCTTTCATTGTTGTAGAATTATTTTAGGGATCTTTACTAAGTAGCTTAGTAATTTTTTTTAACATCACCTATTTTTTAAAAATTGGTATTATTTTATGGTACAACTCTTCAACATCATATCAAAGATTTCTAAAAACTTTGTACTTTTGATTGCTATTTTTCCCATACTCTTTTGATATGAGATTTACCTAACTTTAGGAGTTCAGAATAATATATAAAATAATACTTTCTTACTCTCTTCTTAACTAAAATGGACTTCCTAATGTTAGGTCATTTGTCTACATGGAGAAGATATACACAAGATATTTTAGTAATTTTAATTCTGTTGTTTATTTATACACAGTCAGCACCAAACTTTATCTTGCTCTTTAAGCCACAAGGAACATTATTTCCTTTTGTCCTTAACATTTTTGTCCATGTGGGATTTTTAACTCCTCACCAGGATTGATATGATTTTTTTTTAAAATTATTCTGGTAAGTTCTTTTTTCTACATTTGTGTGGGGAAGGGAAAATTTTTCCCTCTTTTCATTCTTACTTATGCTAGCTAGTCTAATAGTAAAATGAGATGAGACAGACTTAGAGAAGAACATAGCCAAACTTAATTATGTATGTACATATGGGGGTTCCATAAAAATATGGGGCAGTTGAGGCTTATCTGCCATCTTGAGCTAAGGAGAAAAGTGGGGGTTAGTGGTTTGGGACTTCAAAGGGGAGGAAGGCAATTTACATGGAGATGGAAAAGCAAATGTTTGGTAAATACATGTTTGCTGGGCCATCTTTAACAATGGGACCCAGAGAGGATCTTGATCAAATGAACCTTGCTAGGTTCCTCCCTGTCTATCACACTTAGTTCATATTAAACTACAGTTATCTGTGATGATAGCTCCCTTTCTGGAGCAGGTCCTGCATCTAAATTCTTTAAGGCAGTTAGGGGGGAGATGAAAGGTTCTTCTTGAGTCTTTCCTTTCTTAAAAGTAACCAGCTTAAGATAATTAAGATCTCCCAAAGGCACATTTTGAGGTGGTAAACTATGCCCCTCTCCCTGATTTATCTATAAATTTCTAAAACCTGAAAATGTAATCTTTCTCCTGTTCCTTCTTTTTGGACAGTTGTTCTCGGTTTTGGAATGTCTGAAATTTTTATATTTTGGTTGCAACCACAAGGTTGGGTACTTCTGGCGTCCAGTGGGTAGAGGACAGGGATGCTGCTAACCATCCTACAATGCACAGGACAGCCCCACACAAAGAAGCATCAGATTCCAAATGTCAATAATGCCGAGATTGAGAAACCCAGCTTCACAGGCCTCATATACTGTATCATGGCCAAATGCATGATTACGGGTTAGAATTTTTGTTTTAGAACATCCTGAAATCTCATGTGCCTTCATTCCTTTTGTTTATAATTTTGGCCTATAGGATCACACCTAATTTTTAATTGACCTTTCTGGAATCTGCCTATATAAAGTCTAGGAATCATGATCTTACTGGATTTTCCAGTAATCCCATCTTTGATTGTTATCAGTACCAAAATGACAATGGTCGAATTATCTTTAAGCTCATGTCACGTCATAATTACTAAGTAACCGTTAGTCTAAATGACTCATAGAGTATTTCCCTCATTGCTTTTACTTGTGGCTAAGGAAGGGCTCATTAGGACAAGACAATACTATCATGTTTAATTACTGTGCTCCTGATTTCATGTCCAAACTCACTCTTCAATAATCATTTGTTTATTCTAGAGCTATTTATTCAACACCTATCATATTCCAGAAACCATGTTATGTTGGGAATTTAGCAGTGACTAAGACAGAAACCTATTTTTGTAGTGATTGCATTCTAGTGGAAGCAGAAGATCCAAAATCCCATTCCTTCAACCATTTTTCATCCTGGTCTATTATATGCTCAAAACAAAACAAAGCAGCAGAATCTGGTGCATTATAAATAGTTGCAAAAGCTTGTTGTTGTTGTTGTTTTTCCCATGTAAACCCTCTATTTTTGATGGAATGCTCAAAACCTTTTCATTGATTTCTTTTTTTTTTTTTTTAATCCACACCCAAGGATCTTTTTCCATTGATTTTCAGAGAGAATGAAAGGGAAGCAGGAGGAGGAGGAGGAGGAGGAGGAGGAGGAGGAGGAGGAGCAGGAGCAGGAGCAGGAGCAGGAGGAGGAGAAGAGAGCTATGTGAGAGAGACATATCAACTGGTTGCCCCCTGCATGTGACCCCACCAGGGGTGGGGAGCAAACCTGCAATCGAGTTATGTGCCCTTGACCAGATATTGAACCTGTGACCCTTTGGTCCATGGACTGATGCTCTAACCACTTAGCAAAACTTGCCAGGACTTCATTTATTTTTAACCTTCACTTTTTGGCAGATGTCTCTATTCTTAACTTGCTCATTGTGCATTCTAGAGAAGACTGACTTTGAGGTAAATTTTGAATGAATGAAAATAGAATGTTTGATGAATTAAAATGATGTTAGTATGAAAAGTGTCTGGCATTTAGGAAGAAAAAGACATAGAAGTAAAGATGGAAAATTGTGAGAGGAAGAGACCAATTGTGCCTGAAATCTATTTCATTTGCTAAGTCAAAGAAAAAGGGAAAAGGAAAGAGAAGAAAGGGAAAAGAAATAACAAAAATAAGGAAAGAATATTTCCAGTTTAACTGTACCTCTGAGTAATTCTTTTCCTCTGCTGGATATTTCTGTCTCTGTTGAATTCTTTAGAATTCCTTACTTATTTTATAATTTACTCCTCAATAGTTAGGTAGTAAATTGGTCAATATTGGCCAATTTCATATGATCCAACCTAGTATATATATTATAAAAAACAAATCTTATTTTCCCAAACATAATTTCATATGATAAAAGTCTGACATAACTTAATACTGTTGAAATGTAAATGTATTGGCTGTTTAAAAGAATTATAAAAAGATACCACTAGAAAAATAGTTTAGTCATTAAGAGCCTTGAGCAGAGGTCAACAAACTACTCTGCGGGCCAAATCCAGCCTACCACATGGTGGTGTACAACCCATAGGGTAAGAATTGTTTTTACATTTTTTAAATATTGAAAAACAATAAAAGAAGAATACTTCATGACATGAAAAATATATGAAATTCAAATTTCAGTGTCCTTGAATAAAGTTTTTTTAAGAACAAACCAAGCACGTTCATTTACATATTGTCTTAGGCTGCTTTCCTTCTGCAAAGACAGAGTTGAGTATTAACACAAACTTTATGGCATAAAATACTTATTACTTGTCCCTTTGCAGTTGACCACCCATGTCCTAGAGTCAACATTCAAATACCAATGCCACCACTTCTTAGTCTGTGATTTAAGTAAGTTACTTAACCTTCGTGAGCTTCAGTTTACACGTTTTAAACTAGGCATACTTATAATACCTTATAAGATAATTATGAGTGTCTGGTACATCATAAGTACTCTATAAATGTTACTATAATTATTAATATTCTTCCAGGGTGCCATTGTAAATTATTGGAAAAAAATCTACAGAAGCTCATAGCTTGGTCAGTGGGGCTCAGTGATTGAGCATGGACCTATGAACCATGAGACCACTGTTAGATTCTGGGTCAGGGCACATGCCTGGGCTGCAGGCTAGATCCCCAGTGTGGGGTAAGCAGGAGGCAGCCAATCAATGATTCCCTCTCATCACTGATGGTTCTATCTCTCTCTCTCCCTTCCTCTCTGCAATAAAAAAATACATATATATATATATTTTTTAAAAAAGCTCATGAAGCTCAGATGGGCAACAATTGCTCCGTCATCATTTAATGATATAACAACAGTGCCAGCGTTCTGTGGACTTAATATAAAATGCAACCACTTGCTCATTTGTTCATTTGTTCATATAAATGATTATACTATTTACATCTCACTCATGCCACATGGGCCATTTCAAGTTAAAAATATTAAAGTTTCTAAATGTGCAAGTGTTAAGCTGCAAAGTAGGAGCTGTTTTCTCCCTGGGATAATGAACATCTGCTGAAACAATTTGTCCAACAGAGCATTTGCTTCTGCTGGCCTTTTTTTTTTTTAAGAAATGGAAAAAGGATCATTGTTTAACTTCAACTCTCCTCATCTTCTACACCAAGAAACAGTTTCTCTTAGGACTAGATAGTTCTAGGATTTAGAAAAATAAAGGGGCTTCAACTTTGTATTTATTTTTTCCTCTTTTCAAGTAAGGGTAAGTCGAATCTTACTTTGAGTGTCACACTCTTTATGTTCCCTTCTAATTTGAATCCTGTTTGAAAGACCACAGGCTTTTCTACACAACTTACGATTTCCGCAGTGACTGAGCCCTACAGCACCTTCTGAGAGAGGCTGGGAAGGTGGGGTAGTGGTTTATCACACAGCAGGAAATGGGTCAAGTTTTAAATTCAAAAGGCTTTTCAGGGAATAGCTCAGATCTATTACTTTCTGTGTGCAAAGTCAGAGGGGTCTGGAGGGAAGATGATCCAAAGTCTTGAAAATGAAATAAGATGCTCCCCACACTAAAATCCACCAGCATCCTAGAGATAATGGGTGGTTAAATAGCACCACTGATAAACTTCAAGTCTAGGATTTATCAGTCAGGTTACCCCTCCAGCTTTTCTCCATTGGTTTCCCCCAGGGAAAGCAGAAGAGAGGACACTTCAAGCACTTAGCTTTACAATGTGTGCTTAAGAAGTCAGTGGGTAATAACTATTAGAGTTCTCTGGGTAAAGCAGCTTCAATGAAAGGTGCTTCTTTTGTTTCCTTACTTTGAAGTAGAGCTTCTGGTCCTTGGGGGATTAAACCATGAGTCACATCTGAAATGAGGAAGGAAAAGTGTTGTCAAATTTCATGTTGATTCATAACAATAAATGCGACGAGTGGTTCACAGTATTTCACTGGGGCAGGGAGAAACAGGGGAGACCAGGGAATTAAATTTGAGCATGGAAGAGTTGCTCATTGTTATAAAAGGTGGCAGAACCTTGCTGTTTTTCACACAGAATGAATTCTATTATATAGAAATTATTCCTGATTTTTTTTTTGTTTTTTTCAATTACTGTTTTTGTTCATAAAATGGTATAAAAAGAAAAGGTTCACCTACCAAGTGCAAAATATTTTTCCACCTGCTATGTATTTTGCCAGCTAGTTAAAATCTTTAGCATTCTTCAGTACAAAGCCCTAAGATGATGGTGGGGAGGAGGGAAATTTTCCTCTGTTAGAATCTTTTGGATGATAGTCAAACACTTCTGTAATTTCCTTTACCATTTTTAGCTCCTTTTGGCATCACTTATTTCAAGTATGCCTCTGGAATGTCAAGAAGATGCCAGATATTATTTTGAATGTTGTATTTTAATATAATATCAATCTCAAGTTGTTCCTAGAGACTTCAAAATTAGACTGCTTCTTTCTTATCTTTTAGCTAAAAGAAAAGCTTTAAATAAAACCGAATGGAGCTTTGGGTCAGTCTCCTACCTGTGAAAGTAGATTAGAAAGGAATTTTTATCCTCCAGCCACAGGCAGGAGCAGATTGACATGTGTGGACATGAGGAGGGTTGAGGATTGAGGAAAACCAGAGGCAGTCTTACCACTTTAGGTATCAAATGGTCCAAATATTTGGACCAAAGCCATGACTTCATTGGACTTGTTTTGTGCTGGATATTGGCCTTTGAGTCTTCTTTATTTAAACTGTTTAGAATAATGATTCTGGCAATACTTTGGAATAATTTCTATGGTTATTTCCTCAGTGAAATAAGCCTACCATTAGAAATTCTAGCATGGCTGGCTGGCTATTCTAATTCTCTGAAACAAGCATGTGAGATTTGCTGTGTTGGCACCTAGAAGGAAAGAATGATAGAGCAGGGAGAGACCTTATTCTAATGTATTCGAAAGTCATTCAAAATAGGTGGTTCTTTAGTCAAAGGTTTCCAAGGGATTTGTTATACAGGCAATTGCAGTATGACTAGGCCCATAACAATAAAAGAGGGTTGCTTGCCTTTCTAATCAAGAATCATAGCAATATCAAACAAAGGAGGAATTCTTTCCTAAGAAGCTTATGACTAATTCAGGTCTCTACAGGCATTCCAGGAACAAGATTCTTTCTGGTTACCAAGATCATAAGTGTGATTTTGGCCCAGAGGCTTTAAAACCAAAGCATGTTATGTTGTGTCTCACTTGTTCTGTGGGTCAGTTCCTCTTTTCTTTCCTATGCTCTAGATTTTGTCTTCTATCCTTATTATATTGAGAAACAACAAGTACAAGTATTTTCAGTTGGTTTACCTGAATTCATCTCTTATAGGACCAACATATTTGAACTAACAATCACGAAAAAATAAGTAACATAGAAAACATCCCTGCTCTATATTTTCTAGCTCTTCTCCCATTTTTTTTAAATTTTTATTTTTAGCTTTGCGAACTTGGAAAAGTCATTTAAATTCTCTGGGTTTCAATTTCCTCTTCTGTATAAAACAAGAAATTGAGTCTAGATGACTGAAAGAGTCACTTTTAGTCCCTACTGTCTATAATCCAATCTATTATAAAGCAAAATTGTGACCTTTATTATGAAGAAAAGACAGTGGGAGGGAAACACGTTAGGAATTTTTTCTCAATTCTCCCACTGCCACAAATGCCTCAAACGACTGAAATTGGTGACTTAAAACTTTATTAGCTATTTTAATTATTTGGGTAAAGTTGCACGCAAAGCTTATGTATTTGAAAGGGAGAGAGAACCTAAGCTACAATCTTATTTTTTCCATTTTTGACCAGTTTCAAGATTTGGAACCTGTTTTATTTTAGAATAAAATGCTTAATAATATCATGTGCTAGTTTCTTAGGAAAGAACAGCTAACTAAAATTAACATTAGTTTTGATGTCTTCCTTCTAATTAATAAAATATAACTTTTCATTTTTTTCTCCCATATTTTTGTGATAAACGTGCTCACTCTTGCAAATGCCCAACATTTCTTTCTAAAAGTTCTTCATTGAAATCCACCCCCAAATTTCAAAATACTCAGGGAGAAAATATTGCTAAAGATTTACTTTTAATGATTCCATTCCATACACAAACACAAAGAATATTTTTCTCTTAGAGTCCAACTCCTTACCTATGGCTCTGAGGGTAAAGAAAGGAGACTATTTTATTGCTATTCTTGAGATTTCCTCAAATTCTAGAGATAATGTTGATATGAGAAAACCATTGGAGAGCTCGGATAATGAAATATCAAATTTTGGTTAGACCGTGAAATTAACAGACTGGGAAAAGGAGCTAATATAAAAGGACTGGTTATGTTTCATTTCCTGAATTTTTATGTCTAAAAACAAAAACATCTGTCCACTTCCCATTTTGTAAAGCTATTGCAAAAATTATCTGCCAATGAAAATCTTAAAGATGTGAGTTTTACTTTAAAGTTGTAGGTGGAAAGGCTACTAAATTTATACCAAATTGCCACTGTCGACTTGGTTTCCTGGGAAAGATCAAGGGGCATATCTTGTCTATTAGATGATGTTAGAATCAGCCTTAGTGACAAGTTAAATCTTTCAATTTCATTTCAATTGTCACCTGCTTAGTAGGGCAGTGCTGACAGGTTTGGGTTAGCTCACTGACACCACGGACCTTTGCAAATAATTGTGCATGGACAGATAAGAGTTGCAAGAAGAGCTGGTAGCTAATTACAATGCTCATGTTTGTATTTTTCTATCACAACTGAAAAAGTACATTTAATTTTAAAATTTCCACCAAATCTATAAAAACCTGACTTATGCAAAGTTAAAAAAATCATATCCAAGGTATAAAATCAACATAATGTAAATAGGTTTATACCTTTTCCTGGTAGAATACACAAATTCAGAGGATAATCTAAACCAAGCATCTGCAACTTTAAACTTAAAAAAGCCACTCATTTTCCAGTTTGTTTTTATGGTATATTCTATTAAGTCTTATTTGAAATTTAAGAGAATACTACAGATCACATTGATCTCAACAGGAGAAAAGAAACAATCTAATTTTTCATTAGCATTGCTGGTGGTAACCATAGAGCCAATAACATAGCAAATACAATAATGTCTGTGAAAATCACAAATGAAAGACATAATTTTTAAAAGGTTAGCCCATGAGGATAATTTTCAGGTACAATCATTTATCTTTTAAACTACTCTGCTTCTAGGAGGTCTCTTTGGAGAATAATTCAAATAAGAAAACAAACTTTAAAAAATTAGATAACTCATTCCAATATATGTTTCTTCACAATATATTTTACTGCTTATTAGATATTCCAGGTAAGAATGTATAGTTTTTTAACACTAGGATTTAGACATTTTCATTAGTTCAAGAGTCTTAATTAAGAAAAACCTATACCTTGCTGAGCATTAAGAAGTCAATATTAAAAATTGTACAGTATTATTTTCTTTTCCAGGCAGTATTACTGTCCTGTGTTCCAACACTCAGCTCTTCCCCCTAATCCGGACATCTCAGATATGATACAGATAATAGCAATTTTAATTCTCTGAATACTGGGTGTGTATCTGAGATAACCTACATTCCCAAGTAGAGAAGTGCTTTCATTTTTGCATAGAAATGAAGAAAAAGAATGGGGAAATTCAGAAGTTAGATTTCTGAAAAGATAATTTAAAAGATTCTCATTTAGGTGTTTACTCATGCATCAGCTGCCTGGGGGCCCTAGCCATCCAGTTTGCTCAGAACTGCCTTGTCCTACAATAGCTGGACAGAAATGCCCTGCTTTTGCCCCTACAGTGAGTCTCATAGAACATGAAAAATAACTTTCTTGTTTCCCTGCTGCTACTTCCCATCTTCCACCCCACTTCCCAGTAGATGTGGTAAATGTCAGGAGGTTTGTCCTCCCTCTTTACTCTTTGTTCTCAGTTCCCACTGCTGTTGAATTATCTCTCCCACGTCCTTCCTCTTACAGCCGCCCTCTTTTGTCCATTCTGCATGGACCCAACTATGAAACACATGTTTTTATTTATTTCCCTGAAACACATTCACACCAAGCAGTTGGGTTAAATATTTGGGTGTATATTTTGGAATACGAGGACATTATATAACAGCACAGCAGGGCAAGTAATGATAAAGTGAACTTCGGACATCCTGTTCATTGGTAGTACTTGCCACTAGGCACACTTTGCTCAGGACTGAGCTCCTGATGTCTTGCTGGACCATCTTCCCTACCTCCTGTTAGGCCCCACTGCTTTTCCTGGTCTTGGAACACTTGAAGCATCCATCTCTGGCTGGAGCAAAACACTGTTCTTACCTTATTATGCAAGCAATATTTTTTTGTCCAATTTTTAGCTCATTTTAGACAAGTTCCAAATGCAGAATCAAAGATGGCTCACCAAGATGTTTTTGCTAAACAAGGCATTTTTTTTCATGAGGACTTCTGTTGCTTGCTTTGGAGTTATCTGCCCGCCCCACCACCTACACACACACACACACACACACACACACACACACACACACACAGGATTTTGTAGTACCTTTTACATTTTGAAGGCCATTCAGCCAACAGAGTATTAGGTTTTGAAGGGCCCTGGACAGAGATCTGGGATTCATTCCCATGTTTCCTTAATCCCTGCTAACCATATTCAAATTCCAAGTCCTGGGTGATTTTACTTGATACATCTTCCTTCTCTCTGCTGCTACCCTAATCCAAACCAGCACTGCCTTTTCACCGGGGTTAGTATAACAGCCCCCTAACCTACCGCTGGGAGGAAAATTTAGCCTCTACTGATTTAGGTCTGAGTTCCCTGGGGCCTTCAAAGTAATTGAAAGTAGATTAACAGGAGAAAAGTCTATTTTCACATTCAGGTGGGAGCACCCCATAAGAAGTAATTCCCTGAACAGCGGAGGAATAGGGTTACTATACCAGCTCAATGAAGGGGATGGGGTCAGGGCTCAAAGGATGGGAGGTTCTGAAGAGGCTTGTTGACACAGTTTTTTGGAATGTCCCAGTGCCCAAGACCAGTCACCTCCCTAACTCTCATAAAGCCCTGCTTTAGTCAGATAAGGGAAGTTCAGAGCAGATCTCTTTCTGCAGATATTTTCACTTTGGAGTAATCTTCATACCATTTTGGTGAGCTGTTGGTCCTTATACTATCTCCCTACATCTAGTCTTGTTCCACAAATCTGTTCTCCATGCTGTAACCACAATGATATTTCTAAAACACCAGATCATGAGACTCCATTTCTTAAAAATAGTTCAGTGACTTTGTGCTGCCAAGGATTATGATTTATAATCCCAGATTTACCACGTGCCTTAAAGCTTAAAGAACAAAAGAGTCAAATCATATACATCTAGCCTATATGGCCAGAGATTTACATGGCTGGAAAGGTAAGGCAAGATGGGTAAATTATGACCTATAAAAAAATTAGTCTTTAGAGCCATCTCACATTTTCTATTTATATTTTTCAGATTTTACTACTAAAATCAGTGCTTTGGGCACTGTGCCAGGTACCAAATCTGTCCCTCTTTCCCTTAGTTTTAATTAACATTTCATCCCTTTAGGGCCTTACTGAAATGCCTGGCTAAGGAAGTTCATAAGCTTATTCTTACGGGTGTTAATAAGTTAATGTACTATGCATTTCCATACAGTGTTTCTATTTTAATTAGGTCCTTCATGACTTATTCCACAGGATGTCCTAGGAAAGTCATTGCAGACCCTGAGGCCACAAGCTGAGGAAATTTGAGCAAATGGGCTTTTGAAAATCTCTAAAACCCCAGGCTCTTGCTTGGCCTAGGAAGAGAACTGGCCCTGAAGGGAAGAATTCTATTGCCTTTGTATAGTCGGCAGGAGAGGGTTTTGTGCTACTCTGGATAACTTGTTATGTAGCACCATTCAGTGCACCAACACTGATATTTCCTGTCCAGCTGTGTTTAGTTACTTACTTGAATCATCCGTGTGCATTTTTAAAAATAGCTTTATTCAGATATTATTTACATATCGTAAAATTTACCCATTTAAAGTGTACCACTGAGTAATTTTTAGTAAAACTCGAACTTGTGCAACTGTCACCACTATCTAATTTTCAAACATTCTCAGCAGCCTGTACATATCAGTGGTCATTCCCCATTCTTACCTCTGCTACGCCAACCTAACTTTAGGTAACAGATCATCTATTTTCTGGCTATAGAGATTTGCCTATTCTGGACCTTTCATATAAATGAAGTCATACAATATGTGACCTTTTACTACTGGCCTCCTTTACCTAGCGTATTGTTTTCAAGATTCATCTACGTTGTAGCATGTATTGTAATACTTCACTCCTTTTTATTTCCAACTGATATTTAATTACATGGATTCACCATCATTTTTTATCCATTTATCAGATGATGGACATTTGGGTTGTTTCCACTTTTTGTCTATTATGAATAACAATGCTTTGAACATTAATGTACACATTTTTATGTGAACATATGTTTCCAATTCTCTTGGGTATATATCTCTTTGTGGAATTGCTGGGTCATATGAAAATTCTGTTTAACATATTGATAACCTACCAAACTGTTTCTAAAAGGGCTACACCAGTTCATACTCCCACCAATAATGTGTGAGGGTTCCAATTTCTCCACATCTTTGCCAACCCTTGTTATTGCCATCCTAGTGGGTGTGAAGTGGTATCTCATTATACTTTTGATTTTCCTTTTCCTAATGACTAATGATGTTGATTATTTTTTCATGTGCTTATTGGCTATTTATATATCTTCTCTGGAGAAATATCTATTTACATCATTTGCCCATTTTAATTGTGTTATCTTTTTATTATTGAGTTGTAAGAGTTCTTCATATGTTCTGGATATAAGTTGTTTGTCAGATTCATAACTTGCAAATATTTTCTCCCATTCTGCGCGTTGTCTAGTCACTGTTTTGTTGGCTTCTTTAGAAGAATAACAGTTTTAAATTTGAGAAAGTCCAATTTGTCTGTTTTTTCTTTTGTTGCTTATTCTTTGAGAGGCATAGCCAGGAAAGCAGTGCCCTAACCCAAGGACACAAAGGTTTACTGTGTGTTTTCTTTTAAGAGTTTTATAACTTTAGCTTTTATTTTTAGTTCTAGGATTAATTTTAGATTAATTTTTGTATATGGAATGAAATCAGAGTCTAACTTCATTCTTTTTCATGTAGATATCCAGCATCACTTGTTGAAATTGCATGTGATTTTTCAACTACACTATGAGCCTGTTATGTTAGCTCCCTTTCACTGTCTTAGTAAGCAAACTCACCTCTGAAAGGCTTCAGATATCAGTACTTGGTTCTGTACATTTGTGTACACTCTACATCTCTTCATGCTTCTGAATATTTTGTGAGTTTTGTTCTGTTGACTATCTCAGATGTTCAGTTGTATTTCTCTTCTCCAAAGCAAAGATAGCACTTACTATATTTCAGGTAAAAATGGGTGGCAACTGTTATAAGTAATTAACATTAACATTAACATTAACATAAGCAATCTACATAGAGCTAAAAATTCGTCCATTTATTTCCTCAAGAAAAATTTATTGAGTACCTATTACGTGCTATAGATATAATACTGGGAATATAGTAATGAAGAAAACATAGACCGTGTCCTCAAGGAACATGTTCTAGAAAGAAGAAGCAAAAAAAAAGTACACAAATAAATGTACAATATGTGAGGTATTGATACATGTTAAGAAAATTAAAGCAGAGTATGAGGATAGAGACTGATGCAGAAAGGGATTGCCAGTTTATATAGAATGGTCAGAGAACTCTTTGATTAAGTCAATATTTATTTAGAGTTGCAGGGAACTATCTATGTAGTGGGAATAGCAAGTACAATGACCTGAGGTGGAATATGTTTGGCTTAGCTCAAATTTTCCCTCTCCCTCTGTACTTCTAATGCAAACAGCTTAATTTCTGTATACCTCCCAATTTTATCACAGTTTCTTTTCTAAAAATATTTTGCCATAATGGGCTATACATAGTACCATACCTAAAAAGATTCAGTTTAGAAAATGTTTCAAAATTAGATAAATTTAAAACTAATATAAAAACAAAAACTATATTTGACATTACATTTTGCTTTCTTGCTGAAGCATTATTTCTGATGTTGTGACTTCAATCTAATTCAGCAAATTTAATTGAATGCCTATGGTGATATTTCTCCAATCATAATTTGTGGACTACACGTTTGTGGTTCAGAACTTTCACCAGGGACTTCACAATGGCTAACATAATGAAAGATAGTCAGGCCTAAGGAATTTATGATGCCCATAATTGTATTCTGACAATACAGAATGCAGTAAACTCCACTGGGCTGACTTACTTCCAAAGATGCTATATGTTGAGGAATCTGGATGGCTTATGAATAGCCTACCTTGAGTGTCCTCAGCTATGAATCACCAGGTGTGTATCATGGGGTCAGTTCATCATTGATCCATATATGGCTGTGGTAATTCAATGACTTACTGGAGTTAATGTTAGAAAATCAGATGTTTCCTATATTCTATATTTCCACTGAATATCAATATCCAAAGAGAAGATAAAATTTTCAATGCATTTTACAGCCATCACTTTTCTTAAAAAGTCATCACTTTTCAGAAATAATGCCCTGAAAATAAATGCCCAACCTTTGTCTATTTCTCCTGCCCATGTTTGTGATCTTTATGTCAGATTACCTTAGGCCAGTGATGGCGAACCTTTTGAGCTCGGTGTGTCAGCATTTTGAAAAACCCTAACTTAACTCTGGTGCCGTGTCACATATAGAAATTTTTTGATATTTGCAACCATAGTAAAACAAAGACTTATATTTTTGATATTTATTTTATATATTTAAATGCCATTTAACAAAGAAAAATCAACCAAAAATATGAGTTCGTGTGTCACCTCTGACACGCGTGTCATAGGTTCGCCATCATTGCCTTAGGCAGTTGGCAAATCTGAAGTGTCCTGGATATGTGAAGGAAAGATGCTTTAACGCCTTCAATACTTAAACTTGGAATATTCCAGAAGGCTCTGAACTAAATTAAAATGCAATTATGGAATGCCCTCTTGCCTTTTGCCAAATATATTTAATTCCTACCCACTGCCTAAAATAAAATAATCCTTCCTGCCCCTGCCCTTACATTGAGACTTTTTTCACTTGCCTGGCATTTCTTATGTCTTGTTTTCCACACTGTCTTATACATACATCCCTTGACTGCCAACACTCAGAAGCATAACCTATGGCTATAGAGGGTTCTCAATAAATATTTACTAGTGTATTATTATTGTGGCTTGGAAGTATTAGGGAAATTAATATTAGAATGACCCCATGGGGTTTAACCGTGTTTCTATTTTGTTATGTGTGTTTTTTAGTTTTATTTGTTTAGTTTGTATGGCTTTGGTTAAAAATAAATAGGAGAGGATGAGTGAGAAGAAAAGTTTAAAGTATGTTATTCTTCTAGGGATATTTTTCTTTGGTTTTACCTGCCTTGTGGTCAGAAATAGAATTAAACTTAAAACAAAACAGAACATTGTATTGAATTGTAATGGCTATTTCTTTTAGATGTGGTTAGAATAATGGTCTTTAAAGGGTGTTACCAGATTAAATCTTTGCCAAGTAAGGAAGGTGGAGCTGTGTGGGAATTAGGCTTTGTTTAACCAGGTTGTCTAATGTTTTGCTGAGACATGTTAGGAAAAGCAATCCAAAGTAATGTGGACTCAGTATGAAATCAGTCTGAAGCACACCTTACAAAGTTTAAAGATTTTTTGCCATTCTCTTAGAAATTCATATACCAGAAATGCTAGGCAAACTAACTCTACTTACTACACACATATTGTCCCTTTCCTAACATTTGTGGGACCTGAAAAAGTATCAATAAAGGCCCACATACAATATACCAAGTTATCAATCATGGTAAATATCTTCAAATGAAGTCTCCTCCATCCTCCTACCTTAAAAAGTACACCTTCAAGCAAAATTCAAATACAAAGACCTTGGATATCTTGGAGCTTCATGTTTAAAAAGTGAGGGTATTAGTAGAGTCTGCTCCAAATCCCACAGCCTAGCCCTTTTCTCTTCCCATCCCCAGCTCCATCCCACAAGGTAAAGAGGTCTCAAGACTATGCCTGTGGCCACATCTTTTCACACATATGCATCAGACCCCTTGCAAACACCTGCTGGTTTGGGCATCCCTCAGGCCATACTGTTAGAATAATAAATGCCTGGGAACAGAATTAGGGAAGAAGATAAAGCAGACTCATGGCCAGTTGGATGGGGATTTCAGGGATTCCTGATCACCAGAGAGGCATAAAAAAGGAGGGCATGACTCAGGCTCTGAGTGGGGACAGTCCTTCAGTTTCTGGATTCTTTATGTTGGGCATAGGTCTATAGTTAGAGAGATTCTCTAAGCATAAGGTCCGTGACAGAGCCCCCAAGAGTCATACTCTGTGGGTGTACATATATATGTGTGTGTATGCCAAGCACTGTTGCCTATATATCTTTTAAAGATACAGAAAATTTAGCATGTAATCACATATCGATTATCTTATCTAAAGGAGAGGTATAACCTTATGGATGATCTAAAAGGATGAGCAATACAACACATTTGTCTTTGGATGTACTACAATAATTAGTTGACTGTGGATATCTAAATGCTTCAAACAAATAATGATACGTTATGCAATAATGAGATTAAAGCCCTTCTCAGAAAGGCCTGGAAAGCTGTCAAGTTTCCTTCATCTGTGTACTGAAGGATCAACTTCATCCCATTCCTTGTTGCACTGCTCTGTACTGGGGGGAAAATGAGCAGCATTATCTCTTGCTGAGTAAAACCTAGCAGCGGGCTGACTAGATGCTGCCTTCAGCTGAGTCCCTCCCTTCTCATTGGTGGCTTCACATCCTTTTCTCTTTAGTGCCCTTGCTCTTCATGTATGCACTTTAGACGGAATTCTCCTAAAACCTCATCTCCTTAGCCTCATGGCAAGTGAGAATTGAAGCTCAATCTTTAGTCTTTTAAACAAAAAATACTGAAGCCCTAACTAAATTTACTTTTGTGGTTCAGTGATATTGAAAAGTCATAATCAACAAAATGAAGCATGTGAATAAGAAAAAATTACACTCTATGTGTCAATATGGCTTTTAATTTTTTAAGAGGTCATGTTTCAGCTTGTGTTTGTATTTCGGAGGCGAAGAAGTCAAAGACTTGAGAGTAAAGGAGATGCCATCGAGGTATACAAGATGCAGTAAAGCAATTCTAAGTAAAATGAATCAGTTGTTTGAACAAATATTACAGATACATGTATGTGAATTACTCAGGTTTAATACTGTATTTAATAGTTTTGGATAACTTGAAGTAGTGAGTTTAATCTATTGTGATCCAATTTGCCATAATTTGTAATGAGGCAAGATATTTTAAGTGCTCAACACCGTGGTTCATCATCATTATAACTATTTGAGGGTTTCCTTATCTCCTAACCTTGTTCTCTAATATTGTATTACTCTGTGAAGAAGAAAGTGGGTAATTGGAATCCATAAACAGGAAGTGTGTAAGAGAGCAAGCTCCCTGGGGACAAGGACATCTTACTGGCTCACTGACCTGTGTCCATAACCAAGAATCTGGAATGGCCCATGGTAGGCCATTAGTAATTTTTGTTGGCTAACAAAAGAATATGTAAAATAATGTAATTATATCATATACTGACCATGGCCCAGGGATTAGTATTTTAGTTTGATTAGTATTTTGTATATTGTATAGCATGAAATCTTCTGTTATAGGTGAAAAAAAATGAGAATCCATGAGGTTATATAACCTGCCTAAGAACACACAGCTTGTCAAATGATGGACTTACCTACCAACTACTGTCATTTTATTATTTCTATTCCCTCATAGTTATCTGTATCAGAAATTTAAATTTCCTTAGCTTTAATTGGCATATCAAGAGTATGAAATGTACCAATAGTCAGTAACTTCCTTTCAAGGCTCACAGTGTAGTTTGAAATAGGGACCTCAGTAATCTGAGATCCAACACGGCAAAGCCCTGTGCTCTAAGTGATCCGGGTTCCTTGGCCTCAGCCAGAGGCCGACTTCCCAGGAGGACTTCCGACCTCTTTCTGGTAGCAGTCAATAGTCAGGGACCTGTCAAGGCCACACACAGCAGGAAGAACAAAGTGTCACCTGTTCTCCAGAACCTTTCTTTCCAACTTGCTCTGACTTCCTGGACTCTGGGAACCTTGGTTATCTAGAACGATGGCACTTGCCAGCTACGCTTGGCCTTACCTGACTTCCCTGGACTCCAGCCTAAAGTATAACAACTTTTCACCCCTCCCAGCCTGTGTCTACCTCCCATGGCCTTCCTGAGGCTCTTCAAGTATGGTATCTGCTAGAACCTACCTGGCTAGTTTAGACACCTTCGTGTGTTTTCT